TCATATTTGGTACTGAACCATCATATTAAAAGTTGCAGGGCGCGACGAGAGGTGTATAGGGTTGTCCCACCCTACGATTTCGTCCCCCGCCCCTGTATTACCTGGCTGTCCGTCGGTGAGGTGAGCTGCAAACTTTATTCCGTCAAAAGTTCCCAACGCAGTGAGACGTGCACACTTAAAAATAAATTTTTAATCGTATCAATAGAAATATAGCTGATATGAAACCTTTTGTGAGTACAATTTTATTATTCTTTTTTTCGATTAATATTATATTTTTTTAAAGTTGTATTCTCATTCGACATTCGATTTTTGAGTTTCAAATTCGAAAAGAATTTTGAGTCACATAACTTAAATGTTTTTATAAAAAAATTTTTTTTATTAAAAATGTTTAATGTAAGTATTCTTTTTATTACGGCCAAAATTAAATTCAGCGCCACCCGCCGCCGCGAAAGTAATTTATTGTTAAATTATAACATTCAAATCCAAATTCTACATAGAAGCTTCATCATTTTTTAAAAAACATTATCTCAATAGAAATTATATAATTAGTTTTTTTTTAAGATTTATATTATTTTGTACTAAGTTAAGTAAGTTTAAGTTTTGGCGACTGTTTCTAACTAAACATAATAATATGTATATTCGAACTTGAACGGCTGGCGCAGTGGTTAAGCGGCCGGCAGCTACGCAATTCCTGGGTCGCGGATTCGATTCGCCACTCAGGAACAATCCTTTGTGTGATTCACAAATGTTTGTTCCAGTTTGTGGAGTATATATACCACATAAATATGTATATTCCTGATAATGGAGAAAATCAGTTCACCAAGGGGCTAGTGATTGGTCTAAATTACCTACCTTAAAAATAAACGCAATTTACTCTTGTCGTTAATAGCCATAAAATTATTTATTACATTATTCTTATTCAGTATTTTGTTGTGAGGTATTTTTAGTGCACTCTAGGCCATTAGGTAGTATTGGAAATGTAAGTGAAGTCTCAGCTTGGAGAAGCCGAGCTCAGCTAAATATATTTACGCTTGTCAATTTTAGTTAGCAATGTGGCTCCCGTCTTATACCCTCTAGGATATCTGAGGTCTAGACTATTTGTAAGATATTTAAGAATTCCTAATTAGATTCCCAATTAAATTCAAACATTGGTTTATAAATTCAATAGAGTACTTTCTTCAGTCAAAAAATAATAAAATATTTCAAAATATACATTTAACATTTCCTTGATTTCTTAATATGCAGATATATTTTCGATTATTTTTAAGCAAATAAAAATAATTATTAAGTATTTTATTTATTTAAAAATGTGGTGATTTTTGGATTTTGATAAGAGTATTGTATTTTAAAGCATTTAATTGTATTGTCTATGTATATTGTATATGTTAAAATTTGTGGCCTATTTGTTAATCGGTAATCGCTCAGGGTTGCGGGATTTTTGGGAAGGGGTATATTATCAAATGTACGCCATTTATCCATAATCATTTTCCCGTTTAGATGGACGTTTAACACTTTTACAATCGTTTAACACCATAGGGTTTTTTTGTGAGTGGAAAATCATCAAATGACTGCTCCCGCCCAGGGCCGGGCGGGAGAGAGTGTCAGACTCTTACTGATTAATAACCCTGTTCCTTCTCCTGCTCTTGGCCGAGGTCGCGGTGCCTCATTGCGCTTACCCCGCAACCCCAGCTGAACACCGTAGGGTAGGGCGAGAGAAAAGATTTGAAGATTTTCCTTCCTAAAAAATTAAAAAGTAAACCCATATTGGAAACAATATTGAATCCCTAACTAAACGCGAGGTGACACACATATTGACAAAGGCTGGCTGATTAGCTTCAAATAAATGAAGCGAATATTTCGACATCCTAATTTGAACCTTATTATTTCGGAATATATTCACTGAAATCAGACAATAGTTGTTCAATTTAGGTCGACTTCCATGTCCTCTAACTAGCAGCATAGAGCTGAAATTTAATTATTCAGATTTTACGGTGTAGAGTTCACCGTTGATTATGTTAATGAGGAATTTGTTCGCTGGACACTTTGCATCAACGTTGACAGACTGTGGCCGGCCACTGTTGGACTGGCTGGACACCACTAAATAAGCGTGGAAGATCCAAGCTTCGGCACGAATGGTAGGCACATGAGGCTATTACTAGAGGCCCAACCACGCCCCCTCCTCTCCTCCCATTCCTTCCCAGTCCTTCAATATCCGAAACCCTTATACTTAAGATCGGCAACGCACTAGTAACTCCTTTGGCGTTGCGGGTGCCCATGGGCGGCGCCGATTGCTTGCCATCAGATAATCCGTCAGCTCTTTTGCCGACCTACTCCAACAAGTAACTTAATCGCGAGCAGGCGGGTAGTAGAAAGCAGTTTAGTAGGTGTTTTTTCAAAGACTCGTTGCCTTTCCTGGAGTTTTGAAAAATCATACCAGGTTTTGAATTTGTGTCCTCATTTATAATATGAAAACAATAAAAAAATAAAAAATAAGTTTAACAGTAGATAATAATCGTGACGTCACAACACATTTCAAATCTATATAGTTATATACACACATACCTACATATTATGTATAATTGAGAGCAATTGTTTTGTTTGTAGAAAGGAAAACACAAGTCTAATATTTTATATTCATCTAAAATAAAATAAAAATAAGTCATTAACCCCTATTACTATACTCGCCGCGTCGTTATTGTTTGTAAGTTTTATTTTGTATTTTGTCCACGTTTACTTTTACCACTTTCCTGTTCCTGTTCTAATTGAACAAAATCGTGAATGAAAAGTGAAATAAGGCTACAATAATACGTATGTACAGTGGGATACAAAAATTTGGGTCATAACAAATTGGTTTAACATTTTCTGCGTAGTTTTAATTTATTTTCGATAATATGACTGCATTCACAGCTCTATTCAATTTACGTTGAAAATTTACGTATTTGAATTTACCTGATAAAAGGATTTTCAGCGTTGATTTTATACCATTAATTTAAATAATACAATTAAAGCAACACTAATATTACAAACGCGAAAGTAACTCGGTTTGGCTGTCTTTTCTTCCCGCCTAAACTACTGAACCGATTTCTGTGAAATTTGGTACAGACATAGTTTGGAACTCGAGAAAGGACGTAGGATAATTTTTATACCAAAAATCTTCATGATGTCACAATTCAACGTGTACGAAGTTGCGGGCAAAAGCTAGTGATTTATAAGTTCGTGCTACTAAAATCTGCTTGAGACCTAGAAAGAACCAATGTGACCTTAGCAAGTCATGTATACCTTCTAAGTTAATTAACGCACTATAGACTAGTAATTTCTAATTATACGTTTGAAATCGCCAATCTGCTTTTAGCAAGCGAGGTGATTAATGCTCTAACTTTCTACGTCTGAGAAGAGGCTTTGCTCAGCAGTGAGCACTTATAGGCTGATGATGATGATGATGTACTTACTACTTAAGTAATTGCATGATTTTGATGGTTTTAAAGTTGATTCTAGCTTAAACCGCTTTAGGGCTTAATGAATGATATCTGAGGAATAAAATTGTTGCACATCATCATAATTATTCCCAAGGTAACTTTTATCTAAACATTGAAAAATCAGCTTGTAGTAGAATAAGTCTGTAAATACCAATTACTTTCTTATGCTATTAATGATAATAATTTTCCTCTTCAAACGCGTGTTATATCCATTAAACCGTTTTCAGTTTTTTGATTCTGACTGTACTTACACATGTTCATTAAAAAAAGTCTTACAAATCCGAGTTGTTTAGTTTATTATGACCGTTTTACGACACAATGCGCCCTGACTCGTGAGTGAGTCACCCCCTGGGAAGTTGCGTGTGCGACTGAAACTACACCCCATCGTAACTTGACCTCTCGACCCCTTCTTTGGCTAAACCATTGGATTAGAAAGTTGGGGGAGTCTTTAGCGACGAGAGTTCGATTTATGATGGTGTTAGTATGTAGATAGGGCTATGCGTTTTGTTAATTTTTTTGTTTATTTGTATGAGTCATACAAAATCGTGATTAAAGTGTGTTGGTGTGACTTCAGAAGGAATGTTGTATGTACAATCAAAACATTTAACATATTGACTAATTAAGTTCTCGCCTATTGCGAAATTCAACAAAATATTTGATTTTTAAGCAACATTTTATGCTTTGCGTTTTTGCCTATGCATTTGCAAATTCTACAGTATAAACTTCAGAACAATGATTGCACTTGTGTTTGGATAAAGATTAAATCTTCTCTATTAACATTTTTGGTTATCCCTACGGGGATTAAGAGATGAGGTATCGTATTCATCGTAGCCAAATATACATACAGACATATGTTTTTATGTTAGTAATGCAGGTATTCATGTGTGTTTCCTTTTGCTTCAGATGCTGATCTTTGTTCTTCTCACAGCATGTTTGGCATGGCCAATCAATGGCCAGGAAACTGGTAAGGTTTTTCTACCAAATAAAATCACTATATACTTAACAAGTTTTCAACAAGTCTACAATTTGTTCTGTGATACGTGTCATGGAGAAGATGTGAATGAAAGGACATTTTCGTGAATGATTTTGAATGATTTTCTAATTATTAATAGACGAAAATGTGAATCTTTGCGTCTTAAACTTGTGTAAATTAACGCTATAGTTGCTTAGTCGACTATAACGTTAAAATCTGCGTTCTGAATTATCAAATGAGGCGCGGTACAGTGATATTTAGATATCAGCTTTCGAGCCTTTTTTTGTTAGGCGAAAATCATCAAATGAGAAGTGTCATTTGATGATTAAGGCGACTAAGGCGAGAGGAAGTGTCAGACTCTTACTGACTAAAACCCCTGTTCCTTCTCTTGGTCTGGGCCGAGGCCGTGGAGACTCATTGCGCTTAACCCGCAAAAGGCGGAAGGTTTTGAGCCTGTACCATGTTTCAGAATCCTTTAGAACCTTTGTGGTTAACTGCAACATTTGGTAAGTGTTTCTATAGGTATGTTAAAAGTGTTTAATTGTTTTTAGATATTGTGGTCCTTCGTGCAATTCGGGGCCGAGAGGCGCGGCTGCCGTGTGGCCAGGGGACAGTATTTCTTGATGGCCCTAGCTCATACGTTTTATGGTTGAAGGACGATCGTGATTTCCTTTACCGCTTCCCTAATGAAGAGTACGAACATAGGTAAGTTTATTGTTTGACTGTATAGTGTTGCTTTTTCAAATTAAAACGCTGTTGGTAATAAATTCTTTTTAAAACATCGCAGTCCTGAATAAGATTTCTGCCGCCTAGAACTGGTCGTTCTAAAATTCTCAATAACATTTTATCCGACTAAGATGTTGAGGCGCCGAGTGTAAAGTCAAGTTGGTATCCTATCCTGCTCCAATTTTTTTTAAAGCCTTGAGCTGCACCACCCTTTTCTCCGGTGTCATGGGTGTATTTACAAAAGTACAATTTCACATACACATCTCATCGAGACCCCGAGAACAATCTGTGGGTCACACAATGAGTTGTTCCGTGCGGGAATCGAACCCTTGACACGTTGCGCGGGAGCCAGTTGCCCAGTCACAACGCCAACCGTGCAGTCATCAAAATTTAACGATATCTTTTCTAAAGTCACTCACTTTTCTTTAAGCCTCATGAACCCTGACCGTATTGTGGAGACATCTTGCAACCCTGGATCCTGTCGCGACCAGACTGCTCTGCTGGTGAAGAAGGTTACAAATCGTGATGGCGGACTGTACAGGTGCCGGGTGCACTATCAAACGTCACCCTCAGTTGACCATCTGATCGAACTTCGAGTCATTGGTAAGTCAGAATTTGCTTATATTGAGAAGCTTACAGTTAGTGTGACTTTTATGTAATAATAATTAGTCATACTTAATGTTTTTTTAATCTATGCAATACAATACAATCATGATCAGCACTCAATGATGAGACCAGTTCAAATCAAACGAGCTGACAGAATACCTGTAGGTAAGCAATCAAAGCCCGCCATTGGGGACCCGCAAAAACTGAGGAGTTCCGAGTGCATTGTCAACCTTTTGGGTATTAGGGGTTTGGAGATTTAGGGGTTGGGGGAGGGGAAAGATTGGGCCAGCAGCCTCCTTAATACCACAAAATTATTTTGTAAGTTAATAAAATTTATTGTTTTCTTTTCACTTATTCACAGATTCTCCAGGAATACCGACGGTATACAATGACGATGAAGAAGTGAAAGGTGTAACCGTGGGTCCACTCAGTGTTGGCTCGGACTTAACCCTATCGTGTCGAGTACAAAGTAGTATGTATCATAATTGCTTTTGTCATATTTCTTTTTAAATTTATTTTGTTGAAGTACTTATTTTTGTTAAATATTTTTGCATTTGCTCCACATTTGTATTTTATCCTGTGTTGTTAGTACATTTACAAACATACGATTTAAAATACACAAGCTGCTCAGACCCGAAACAACAATCTGTAGATCACACAGTCTTGTTACGTGCGGGAATCCCTCCCGCGGCACATCACATAGCAATCAGTTGCCTAACAATTACAAAATACTTTCTGGAATAAGTAGAGTAATTGTGTCCTTAAACAATTTTTGCCGGGGTTTTTCACTATCTAGAATTACATCACAATTAAATAAAAAATAAAATGTGACATTGTATATATGAACTAGCTGACCTGGAAAGCTTCGTTTCGCTTCAAAATTAACTTAAGTTTTCTGACCTTTTAAATTTTTCCTGGACTTCCACGAATAGTTCAAGATCAAAATTAGCCAAACCAGTAAAGGCATTGTTGAGTTATAACATTACAACGAAAAGTGGCATTGATTTTTATATACATATATAGATGTAAATTATACACATGTACTTTATAGAAGATCCTGAGATCGAAGTATATTGGCGGCGCAACGGCGTGATGATGGAGAGAACCCACCTGACGAGGACTGATGTGGTGCGCGCTGACATACACCTGTACAACCTCACACGATCGGATGCAGACTCGCATTACGAATGCTTAGCCCAGAACTCCGATGTCTCAGAGCCATTGATTAAAAGCATCGTTATAAAGATGTATTGTACGTATAGAAATATACCTTTATTACAATTATTGTTTATGGAATTTGTGACAAAAGAGCTAAATGTTACCTAAATGTAGTAGATCATCTCCGTCCAGAGATACTCACAACACCAAGAAGTGAGTTTAAAAAAGTAAACGTAAATACAGAAAACTGGCGTGAAACAACCACAAGGTTGTGTTTCGCCGTGTGAGTGAGGTTACCGGAGGCCCAATCCTTTTCCTCCTCCAATCTCTCCCCAATATCAAAATCTCCAAATACGTCTGCTCGTTTGCCGGTCAGTTACGAAAAAAGAATAGTACGTTATACTCTTGAAAGTCTGAACAGCGGGTTTCTTAGGTATTTATAATTTTGCAGAGCTGAGAGAGAGAGAGCAGTCACGTGATATATTTAACAGTCGCGCAAGCCTTTGAATAAAGTTTCCGTTGTGACTTGATAATAGCTTTTCTCAGTTAATTCAATTCAATGAGTAAGTTGTTATTTCCAATTTATTTAGTATGTCTTACGACAGTTTTTATACATGAACAGTTAATTATTATTTTTCCTGTGTTTTGGGTGCGACTTTCAATTCTGTCCAATATTAAAACATCTGCACCCTTATTACAAAGAAGAATTATCTTTAGTCTAGGTTTATACCATTGAGTCAGGTTTTGCATTTTGAATCTTACTCTAACCTAAATTAAATTCGAAATACAAAAACTGACCCAATGGTTGTTTTGTAATAAGGCCGTCGATGTTTAAACATCTTATTGATTTTGTATTTATTTTCCCAGTGGCTCCGCTCAGTGTTCAAATTCGCTTAGACGAGAACTACGGCTTCGAGGCAGGAATTCCTCGTTTAGTCGATTGCGTTGTAATTGGATGTGTCCCTGCGCCTTCCATCAGTTGGCATCTAGGCGACACATTGTTAAGACCAACCTCACATAAGGTAAATTTAAAATTAAAAAACAAGTTGATATTTTTTGGCTTCAAATGATGATGATGAAATTTTTTATAAGGCTTTAGTGTCCACAATGGGTCATATTAATCGACGAATATGTAAAATACTTAAGTATTACCTCTATTCACAAAAACAAAAAATAAATAAATTATCTTCAGGTATCAGTTTGATTTCTACGCAGTGCTTGTATAAGAAGACATTTTTTTCTTACGAAAGATTGTTATTCTAGGAGGTGAACGAAGGGAATTACACGGTGTCGACACTAACCTTGTCACCTTCACTCCAAGAATCGCACTACGAACTAACCTGCCGAGCTCACAACTCCCACATGCCTTCGGAACTCTTCCAGGACAAAGTCGTCATTAATGTTGGATGTGAGTATTCATATCACATTTCCGCTAATTTGGTGTAGCTGTAATTTGGCTTTACATTTGAAATGGGTCGGCAAATGGACGCATCACCTGATCACATCCGCAGCACCGAGGCAGTTGCGTTGTCGGCTATTTGTGGGGTGCTAGGGATTTAAGAATTGTATTTTGGTGTTGCGGAGGAAAGCATTGTTTCAAGCTAATCTGTGAGGCTGTAATCTGTGAAAGTGGTTCTGCCTAGTCTCTGGATTATACTTTAGCTATTGTACTCTTTAGTATCTTATATTTAGGTAGAATTAGCATTCGCTTATATTTTTTCAGATCGGCCCACCTGTCAAACAGGACGCGTAGAGAGGGTAGGTGCAGTGCTACGTGAGGCTGAGACGGTCCATTGCATTGTGGACGCATCCCCCGAGCCACTGCAGTTCACATGGACTTTTGAGGACTCGAAAACTCTCTATACAAGCGGAACGGTTAGTAAAAACGAAAGACATAAATAAGTTAACCTAAGAATCATTGTTTAACTTTATTCTTGTTCGTAAAGGATGACATCTTTGAAACTCTTCCAATATATGAGGAGGAGCCGTTCAGGTAGCTCCAGGATCATGAGCCACTAATAACCAGCTTCTAAATAAGGAGGAATTCCAAAACTAATAATTGATACAGCAACTTTATCGTGGTTTGAGTTTTGCTGTTGACCCAATAAAATAAAAATGTGGACTAAATTAACCTTTATAATGCATGTTTATTAATTCATCGATAATTTTTTATTTTTTCTTGTTTTTATGATTATCCACGATGAGATGCAGATGTGAAGACCCAAGAAACATTTCTAGTAGTAAATTAAAAAGAATAAAAATGATCTTCATTTGTTTCAGAGGATATCTTCGTATCGAAACCGATATTCTTCGAGCCTGACCTGGCTTTCTCGTGATGGCGACATTGGTCTTCTGCAGTGCCGTGCTACCAACGCGTTTGGGGAACAGAAGAACCCTTGTGTATTTAATATAACTGCTGGCGGCCCGCCCGAGTCACCTGAATGTGATGTCCAACGCACCGTACCCAACCACGTGGCCGTCCACTGCCGACTTGGTTAGATATTTTCTTGACTTATCGTAAAACAGGGTGAATAGAACTGGATGGATGAATGTATACAGAAAAAGGAGCAAATAGATGGTGGCATATTATTTTGGTATCTAAGCCCTTTTTCAGCGACTATTCACTCCTCGAATTATATTGACCCTAAATTTAATGAAAATATCGATTGAATTGCGTCAATTAACTGAGAAAACCATTATAAATTCATGTTACAACGTGCTCAAAGAAATTAAACTAGTAGATCTCTCTGAAACTAAAGTAAGTGTCGGACGAAAGTTAGTGTCGGACCCTTACTGTCTCATAACCAACCCATTTTTTGACATGCTCCAAAATGGGTCTGCGGTGCATTATTGCACTTGCAACCAGTGAGTAATTAATAATAATTAATTATGACTCTGCCCGTCGCATTACCCGGGCGAGAGAACCATTTGATTATTTTGTTTTCACAAAAAAGAAAACCTGCAACTCCAGTTGAAAAACAAACCTGTGTTTATCTAACATTAGCTACTCTCCGCTCCCGCTGCTCGGCTCCAGTCATAGTGTGATGTTTTATAGCCTATAGCACTCAGGAACATTGTAGCTATTTATCAGTGAAACAATTTTGGCAATCCGACCAGCGGTTCCAAAGATTACCCGCTACATACAAACTTACAAATTTTACCTCTTTATAATATTAGTATAGACATGCGTTCTGGGCCATTACTATTGGGAATGGTTCTTTTGACTTTGATTTCTTTAAATCTAGGTATTACTCAAATAATAAAATACCCTTTTAGGTAATAAATGTGGTGATCGCAAGTAATGGACTTGCGATCACTACATTTATTACCTAAAAGGGTATTTGCGTGCTTACTAAATGACTAACTAACAGTTCCTGCTAATAATGTTTTCATATAAACCAAAACTGAATGATCTCGACTCTCGGTCGTCGGTACTTTAAAAGGAAAACTCAATAACATATTATTATTGTTTGATTTAAAAATCGAATAAGTAGGTCTTATTACTTCTAGCCATTGCACGTGCATGTCTTTATTTAGTCCTTTTATTTTTGACCGTGTATCGAGTTAAAATAACATTATTTTATTTTGCATCCAGGATGGGATGGGGGGCGACCCCAAAAGTTGTATTTCGAACTATACGATGAATCTGGCAGACTGCTGCGGAACGTTTCGGATGTTGTTGGAAAGTACCATTTCAAGAACCTACCAGGCCATCAGAATTTTACTGCGATCTATTACGCGGCAAATACGAGGGGTAGAAGCCAACAAATGAAAATAGGACTGAAATCTTACAGTACTGCTATATCTGAGGAGAAGATAGAACGTATGTAACTAATATTACAAGACCTGTCGTGTTAATCTAGGAATTTAATATTCATGCTCTTACTATTTTAGAAGATATAAGTATATCATCAATATGATCTTTTATTAGGAGATCCAATAAAAATACTCCTTCCTTCTTATGTGCATCCCGACAAATCAATTCGCGAAATTTACTATTTTAGCATCTAAAAATTAGTATACATTAAATTCATATTTCGGTACAATGTATGTGTACCTTTTTCAAGTATGTAGTGTGTAAGCTTTTTATTTGTTTTCTTCTTTGCAGTAGAAATGAGTAACGATATTGTTTACAAGTGGGTGCCTTACATCGAGACACTGGCTGGAATAGTGACGCTCAGCATTACGGCGGCAGCCATCACGTTAGGAGCTAAGCTGGTCTGTGCTAAACGGGATCGTGAAGATTCTAACCCTGATTTAGTTCCTCGGGACGCAAACGGTATGTTGAGTCGCTAATTATCAGTAGTGTAATAGATGCAACAAGATGTCTAGCGTATTCAATCATGTTGTTGTACTAAAAGACCTCATTCGACATCAGCGCCATCTGTACTTGCAAAATAGCCAATTCTTATTCAAGTCTACTCTTTCATTTAATGTTAATTATATTATATATTTTCGTTGAATGTTTTGTTTTTAGGATGTTTTCACCGAGAACCAGATATTACAAAGGAGGACAGGTGCTTCGAGTCAACGAACGTTACCGCAAATCCAATGGCGTCATGTTCCAACATGTCAAATACTATGGTATGTTATATGTATTATTGTTACTCATTGGAGATGTTAACCTTTAGCTATTTTCTGTCCTGCTTACACTCCATAAGAGTTCCACTTGATTCCACGGATTGATTGAAAGGCGTTAGTTTTACTTCATCAACTGAAACCTAATAATGACAGTAATATTGAGTGTTTCTTTTCCAGCCATTCTGCTCGCCTACAGTACCTACGTGTCGCGTTATAATAGGCTGCCCTCACGACGATGACGACTGCGTTACTAGCCAGCAGTCCTACTTCGTTTAAATCCATCATTCAAGACAACTGATGATGCCAATAAACGAAATCGAGTCTGATGTCCATGACGCTTCAGTCAGACAATCGCTGAACAGATCTAGTCATATCAAGAAATTAAATAATACAATTTTCGTAGCAGATGTAGGGCAGTAATCGAGCTCGCGTGTCGTTTGCAAACGGCGCTGATAACTTCTCCTACGACATGATACAGCCCTACCCTACCATTATTTCACGCCAGTTTTGTGCGAGGCCGTGATATAACTTCGGTCAAGCCAGTACTCCGCGGTCCTAGGTCTACGCACCTAATAAATTTTAGATTTAAGTAAATGTTTACCTGTAGTCGTTCTGTCGGTTTATGTGTCCTTATTAAGGAGGGAAGAAAGAGAACGGAAGACTGCTTTTGAAAGACCTTTTCTGAATGATGGGCGTAGATCGGACGATGGTCTTAATGCTGAAGGCTGATACAATGACTGACTTGGGCCTATAAGTGTATGGTATGGTCATTCCTTGTTAGAAGTAAATATAGGTTTGGTGCTTTAATGCTGTATTAAAAATAGGTATGAAGATCTGGATCATTGTGGGTTTAGGATGGTGTATAGGAAAAATTAAAAGTTGTTTAGGCCTTCAACTTCCACAAGAAGGTACTCTGTAAGTATTATATTCTAATCTAATTGTTTCCATTTCCACAAGGTACCGTTATATGAAAGGTATCAACGTACGTCTAAGGGTTATCGTGTACTCTACTAGTCATTACTAATGTAATTATATTTAAGTTTAGTATAGTAAGTTTACCTTCACATATTTACACATATCTATTGCGTATGTATTTCAAATCGTTAATAGCAAATTATTGTTATAATTATAAACATATTTCTGAATAAAGGTTTCACGAAGATGATGAATGCTTTGTTTTATTTGATAAGACGACGACTATCCTTCGGATTCCCTGATGGTAAGCAATCAGCGCCACCCAAGGACATTCGCAACAACAGATGAGTTACACAAACTAATTTGATTAATTTATTATTATGTAATAAGTTGGCAAACGAGTGGACGAATTAACTGAAGGTAAGCAATCAACGCCACCCAAGGTTATTTGCAACAATAGAGGAGTTACGAGTGCGTTGCCAATCTTTTGGTGATACAGATTTTGAGATTTAAGGATTAGGAAGGGAAAGGGGAAGAATCGAGCCACCGGTAACCTCACTCATAAACACAAACCTGTGGGTGTTTCATGCCGGTTTTTTTCGGTGAGACCGTGGTATCACTCCGGTGGAGCAGACCCACTCGTGCCGAAGCATGACTAACCCCCTCTTCCCTATGACTTCGTTGGATCACTTTGGACAAGTATGCAATAATCCTCAAAACTATGCAATAATTTGTAACATGCTGTTCTTGAACCCATTGCAACTTGTCGTCTACTATTGAATTTGTAAAAGAGACTACTTTCCTGGGGATAACTGTAGATGACATGTTGCAATGGGCCCCCCACGTCAGGTCTCTAGCAGGACGAGCTCTGCAGCTTATGCTGTCTGGAAGATCCGTCAGCTAACCGACGTAGGCACGGCAAGACTAGTGTATTATATAGCTACTGTCACAGCATTATGTCGAATGGAATTCTGTTGTTAGAACAGGCATCCGAAGTTGAGTCTATCTTTATCTTGCAAAAGCGTACCGCCAGAGCTATCTATAACTTAGGTCGTCGCGAATCTCTCAGAGAAAAGTTTAGGGATTACACTTATAATGAAAATTATATGAAACATAAAGGAAGGAAGGAATGCAAACTGATGTATGCATATAATTTTTTCATCAGACTGTCTCATTGAAGAGGTTCTCGAAAAAACACAAATATGTAGAACTCTTAGTATAAATGAAATCATACACATTTGCTGTATGTAGCTACAGCACTACACTTTTTTTGTATCCAGTATTCAAACGTCACGTTTGTGGCCAGTTCTTCTTTAAACTATAAAACTAATAATATATTTACAAAAGTAAAAGAAACTTGATATGTATACATTGATTAATAATAAAATGTAACAATTTTTAGGATTTTTTGTCTGAATTTTCTTTGTCTGATGCCATTTTTTCGAAACAATATAAATCACTGAGACCCCTAGACCCAGAACCTTTGCCAAATATTGCCAGTTTGATTCCTCCGCTGGGACCATCTCCTTGGTTAGAAGTAGGATCCTCACTGTTTGGAGTTTCCTCAGCCAACGACTTTGGTCGTGGTACTACCAATGGTTTTAGGCCTGGTCTAGGTTCTAGTTCGGTTACTGCTTCTTGCTCTGGTTCTGGTGGCGGAGGTGGGGGCTCGGGTTCAACAAAGGGGCATTCACATATGATTTGCTTCTTTTTCTTTTTTTTCTTGCGTTCATCACATTTACACTCTTTAAAATCAGCTTTTTCGCGAATAATTATTGGAGGAGGGATAAAATCCTGTATTATCTCTGGCTTTAAAGTAGCATAGTACCTGACAGCCTCTTCTAGTGTTAGTTGTATTTCTGGTGGCTCCTGAGCAGAAGCTGGTGGTGCTGGTGGTGGTGGTTTCTTCTTAAAGAATGTGAATCCAGAATGTGCATGTGTTTCATCAGACTTTTGTTTCAATTTAATTTTTTCTGCGATTGCTGGATCGATCTCACTTAATTGTTCCGGCTCAGGGTCTGGTACAATCACAATTCCAGGCGGGGTCAAAATCACAATTTCAGGCTCAGTCTTCGGTGCAAGCGTAATTTCAGGCTCGGGTTCTGGCTCTGGTTCTGGTTCGGGTTCCGGGGGAGGACATTCACAAGGATATTCACAATTCCTTCTTTTACGTTTCTCCTCGCATACACATTCCTTAAGGGGTATATCGGTGCCAGTTCCAGCCTCGGCTTGAATCATACCTGCTTGGGTATAAGTTCCGTCTGATTCAATTAGTGAAACTCCACCTGCAGGTCCTACTACTTCCATTGTACACTTGCCCAAGTTTTTATCTCCTGGACAAAATTTTAATTTAGATTCACCACAATCACAGCACTGGCAGCTCAATGATCTAGTCCCTGTCTTTGGACCATCAGTAGTTTTGGATATTGGCAGCGGAAATAATTCACATGGGCATGATATTCGTTTTCTTTTACCACTACACGTACAACCCGTGTTTGAATCTTCTTCCAACTCTGATTCTGGGTGGTTTTTACAGATAGCGTCACCTAATAAACGTACAAACAGTTTACATAAACATTATAATTGTTATTAATATTTTACATTCTTATTATTTACAGGATAGGTTGACAAACGGGCAGATAGATCACTTGATGGTAAGTAATCCGCATTACTCCAACATCTTCAAGGAATTTCAAATTGGAGATCGGGATTTGTGATTTAGAAATTGTTTCTCCAGTAAATAAGCTGACTCAAAAAGCATTAAAACTCTGTTTCACTTCGGCTTTCTTTCAGGTGAAAAGATAAACTTTACTTTGAAATATCTTTGAAACTAAATTCTATCGCAAATAATTATTATAAAACAAATTACCACCACATCCTGTGGACGTCACATTTTTAGTTTTTTGGGCGAGTGCTTGTTCTAGCATTTGCTGTAATTTCTCGGGGCAGCATTGACAATTACCCCCTGTCTCTGGGGCCTCGGTAGTGTCGTTTGGATTTTCCGCTGGAGGACAGATCAGTTTTATTGGAATTTTATCCAATTGCATAGCGTTACGGCGTCCTCCGCTGATACTGCCTCCAGAAATATGACACGGAGATACTGCGGACCTGTGGCCTATAGACATGATTGATGCCTGTTGAGTGACGCTTATCATTAATGGCCTTCTTCGGTGTCTATCGCATTTCAGACCTAAAAGAAATGCAATAAATATTATAACTATAGGTTTAAATAAAAACTTTTATCTGTATTTGTTTTATTGAGACATCAAAAGAAGAAATCAAAGAAAGCGTGAAAAGTAAGAAGCAACAAAGGTCCATAAAAGGCCAAAATCGCACAACTGAGTCAAACAGCGCCAAATCCGAACCATCTACCTTTGAATTACCTTGTTCTTGTAAGTTTGACGCGAAAGGCGTCTAGTTTCAAGCCACGTTCATATGAATGTAATATTTTATGCAGTTATTGAGAAATCTATTATACGAAATTCATCTCATTTTCGCAGAATGAAATATGGCAGGATTTTTTATAATGAGACACAATTAGAAAGAGTTTTTTTTTTGTATTATCAATCTTACTGAATTTATTCATTTTTCATACGCTACCTTGGTTAACTAGTAGAGGAGTGATTAATTCAGACACAACATTCGATGATTCTACACAACCTTGTTTGGAGTCTTTGCTGGGTTTGTTCTCAGTAGAAACGCCGCCTCCTTGATCGATGGCAGTAGTCTCATCACTTATACTTCTTTGAATTTTTCGAAACATTTCCATAGGAGTAGTTATTTGACAAAGTTTGTTCTTCGTTGCCTTTTCTCTTTTATCTATTACTCCTTCTTTTCCTTCCCCCGCGTTTGTTTCATTTTCTGTCTCTCTTACTTTTTCTTTTTTTTCATGCTTATGGAACATTTTAAAAAACTTTCGTCGTTTACCCTTTTTAGTTTCCTCGTCATTGAGAGATGACAACGTCTCTGTTAAACCTTCTAAACAAAATTTTTTGCCTTTTGTTGATATTTTCAGTCCGCGTGTGTGTGGTGGAACTAAATCTGCAATATATTTAATTCGTTTTTAGATTATATAAGTATTTAAACCCTACGTTACTATGTAACGTTACTATGACGAGATTTTCAAAGTATTTATCCGTAGAATTACTTAAGAAAAAAAAAACTAGCTTCATGATGAGGCCCAACACATTTGTTTTATAAAAACACTTGTAATTGTTCTGGCATTAAGGCACTTTCCTTACAATCGAATAACCCATCCACTAGTTTCTATTCAACTCCACAAAATACCTGATTGGCTAGCTAGTATTGGAATTTTCAGATTCGAAATATGTCTGGCAATTTAAATTCTAATATTCAATAACTACACGCCATTCAAAAAGATGCCTACCCAATTCATCAATCTCATCATTTTCGTTCCAATTACTGTGACGGTGTTCTGATAACTGAACACAAACTGTGGACCGGGGAGGTGCTATCATGGGATTGGGAATATTTTCTTCTGATGTCGGTACAACCACGAATAGCGACGAAGCATTGGAGAGTTCTTGTTGTGCTAGAATTTGATTTACCATTGCTTCTATATCATGTTTGCCATCTAGATTATTAATGACAATGACTGGTTCTTTGTTTTTTTGTCTCTCTCGTCGTTTACTATTATAGGTTTCGGTTTGATTCTGTTGAGTCAGTCTGTATATAATATATCCATCCTCGTTTTTTAATCTATGTATTGTTCTAAGAGCATGGTCCTCCGAATCGGTATATTCGCTCGTGTTGTTCTCTATGCTTACTGACGAATTTCTAGTGCTAAAATGTAATTGAATTTATTATTGCGATGATTCAAGACAAATTGATGATGTAGGGATAAACTTAAAAACAAATAGTCCTTGTTTTACTGAAAATGTAAACTTAGATTGTGCGATACACTCTTGTCGAGTAATCAGATAATAATATGTTCTATGGGAGATTAATCACTTATACTCAAACAAGCAAAGTTGAAATGTGAGTAAAATGAAATGGAACATGCCTTATTTCTTCACCATCGGAGTTGGCAACATTAGCAGATTGTTCTGGCACTCCATTTGATAGTTCACTACCACGTCCATCAGGTACATAGCAGTATAAATAATGCTTCGAACTAGTTATATGGTAATTGCTATCCAAATAAGATATTACTTTAATATTAACCAAGCTTTCTTCTGAACTGGAGGTTAAGGATATCGACGACTCGCTTTGAACGAATAGAACTGGATCTAAACTGCTGTGGGTGGAGCTTTCCATGACGAAGCAGACATCTGAAAATGAATACCCAAGTAAATAGTTGCTATTGATATTTATCAACAATGTAAATGTAAGGGAATCCGTATAGTCTTCGAGTGTTTCTATACTGCCTTCAATGTTTCTCAGAAATCTACAGCACGCTGTAGAAGTGTTAAAAATATCACTCATAACTTGAGCATCTACTGGAACTTGAATTACAAGAATGAATGCTGATGAAAGGTAGATTTTTTTTGAATTTAGGATTAGATTAAAATTTTGGTAAGCGCTAAATATACTAAAGTTTATTCAGCAAATACATTCAGGATATTATTTAACAAATATCACGTTCAGATGCCTCCTCACACAAGTACACTTTTAATTTCATCACATACCTCAATAGGTCTAAATAATATCTATTTACTATCTTATGTATCCCTTTGGAAGAGTCGTCATTATTGCGAATAATTCTCTGGTAACTCAAAAAACTATTGTTATTTAGTTTTAGTAACACAAAAATAGTTTATGCCATGTTTTCCAATTTATGTATAGGTATGACAGAAGACATGAGTCATGTCTTTTATACTTTTTAATTTCATATAAAGGTTTTATGTGGAATGTGAATTAGGATTGATACTCTGTATTCTGAGGATTGATAATTAATATTTGACGAAATTACTCCTAAACAGACTGTGGTCAAATAATGATATCAGTCACAGTGACAGCAGCTGGGTCGCGGGTGCAAAACACAACAATGAACTGTGGCTCAAGCTCGAAGCAGGAGAAGGAACGGCATGGTATTAAGTCAGTTAAATTCTTACAGTCTACTATATAGTCTCATCCAGAGCGAGAGAAGGAATTTAATGCTGTACCACCATCAAAAAAGCTACATTCACAAGACAATATGCTGTCGGTCCGACATCATAATATTCAATTCAAATTCAACGTGTTTAATCGATTATTTAAAGAGCAAACCGTAATTTGACTTTTTTCATTAAACTGATACCAAGAGATGACCAAAGAGTAAGTACGTAACAACTTACCATAGAGAACAGAATACTCTCTGCCTCGGATCAAATTGTCACAGCACGCCATACTTATTAAATTTTGGCAAAGCGTTTAGGGAAAGTCTTTCATATAAGATTCACGTTACATACAAAACTGCGAAATTGATAGGATTTGTTCCGATTTTTGAACAAATCCTGCTTCAAATTCGCAACATACCTACCATATAAACATAAACAACAACAACAACAACAAACTCAAAACAGTAATGAAACTTGTACTGAAATCAATATTAAAAAGGTACAAGGATGCCATGCTGGTATCCAAGTTGGACGACAGACAGGCTGAACGAATTTCAGTTCAAGGTCCTACGTTCAAGATATGGAGCAAATTTTAATAAACATAGCAGTGTATTGTTGACACATAGCCGCAGTTTTAGTCAGATACTGGATGATACTGTCAAAGATGGACCCAACTGTTTTGCACAATTTATGGAAAATTTTTACGATTCTTGTGCTATATTCAATTTGAGGTGATGATGTATTTTTATTATAGTATCATTATTATTTCATATTCAGTCGGTAGTACTATTGTTTCATAAAGTGCCATCTTTCAGTCCTCACAGGTACTACTTGTTCTTCATGCTCTTGAAACCGAGTAAGCTTAGTAGTTCATTGGCAAATGTGTAGATGTCGTTAAACAATATTATTGATACGCCTTGATGTTAAGAGCGATTGCTGAGCCATGGTATCTTTGGATGAATGATAGATTTTATTTTTATCAACAGCCAGAACAAACATGTCCTTCAGGTTTATAAAACTAATATAGATATCGTGGTTGTTGCAGGTACTGCCCATTCAGAGGATTTAATATACACAGCGACAATTACTTCAGTTGTACATTGAAAGACATTTTCATCCTCATATGTTTCCTAATAGCGAATTTTTTCGTGTTTCTTACTATTGTGACTAAAACTATGGTCCACTTATCTTTAGCTGTATACATAACTATTCAGCGATTAAAAAGGTTAGTGTAATATATGTCTTATTGTCCAGTATAATAGTCATTACTAATTGCTGCTATATCTAGCTGTTAAGAATGTAAAAATTACGTTAGAATTCGTAATGTTATACACAATAATCATGAAATAATATAAGTGACTCGAAGGCTAAAGGGCCCGCTTCTCCAGTAGCCAAACAAAAGTCATAGAAATCAGTTATAGTTTATAGTTATGAAAATATAAAAGAAGTCTGAGAGTATGTAGAAGTAACTTGTTTAACAAGACGTGTGGGATAACCAAGCTTCGGCACATATAGGTCGGCTCGACCGGTGCTATATCAGGGTGAAATATACTACAGCGTTTTACTTCGCTGTGTGACTGTCCCTATAACCACATCCCCGCATCTCTTCTCAATCTCTAAATCTTCGGAACCCTAATCTCCAAAAGGCCGGCAATGCACTTATAACTCCTGGTTTTGTTTGTATCCATGGGTGGCGCCGACTGCTTGCCATCAGATAACGCGTCAGCACATTTGTCAACCAAGTTGTTATATACATAAGTTACTAGCAAACTCGGCAAACTCCGTTTCGCCTACAGATGTATTACATAAATTTGGATGTGTATGTGAAAAAAAGGATTTCCCGCTTTCTTGTTAAATTTTTCCTGAATTTTCTTTTCTATAAACCTCACGGAGCCCGAGACCTTTCCAACGACCGACCGAACTTTTTTTTATATAGTACATTAAATGAAAATGTTTTTTACTTATACTTATTATAAGTTACTTAATCAAAGGTTTTATCTATTTAAATGAAAGGCTAACCCCCGGTTTCCGAAAGGCCGATCAATGTTAAAATCAATTTAATCTCTTGTCAAGCCATCTGATTGGTTGACTGAATTATCAACAACCAATGAGATTAGAGCGACTTGACAAGAGATTTAACAGGAGATTAGTTAATTTTAGCGTTGACAAGCCTTTCAGAAACCGGGTGTAAGTGTCGATTTTCTTTTTAACCAACACAAAATATTTTCTACCTTCTAGAATAATATCACCAAGACTGACGACAGATTCGACGGACAAGTCGTGTCCTATATCAATGGTTGGAACAAGGCAACTGCGTCACAACTTCAATCCAAGACGAAGCAAGAGCCGTTGGACCTCCCTATTCCAATGCCAATAAATATGTAAAAAATGCCAGAAAAATATAGTTAACGTAACACATGTCTATATTGTTGTGTCTTCAAATTTATTTACCTTTATCGCCGTGTACACTATTGGTATTTTGACTTCAATTAACGAATGAATCCTTTTTTTTAATAGTTTAATTCTGTTTAACTTCAAGACCATTAGGCTTGTAATACAATAATAATAAAACAGATAAAAATAGTTCATATAAACAAAAAGAGGTTTTCATCTTTTTTAGAACGGAACAAAAAGAATATTCATACTTGTTAAAAAAATATATTAGAATTTTAACTTCTGACTATTCGGGCCATCCGTATCTTTCAGTAAAATACTTGTGCAGTTGACAGCGATCTGAACCTGCTAACGTGACATCAGCTCGTAGCGAATCCTCGCGCGCAGTTTCTTGCCCCACCTGGAACTCCGCGCGTCTGGGTTCTGTTCCTGTAACGATACTGAAAAATAATATTCGTATGTTACTACATGAATTTCTAGCTCTCACCGCGTGAAAGAATTTTGAAAATCGGAGCATTTTCATTTGGTTTAGTGAAGCTACGGACTACGAGTCACGTGACCTCGGCACGTAGCGTATCCTCGCGTAGGTCATTGCTCCGCCTGCAATCGGCGCGTACCTGGGTTCTGTTCCCGTAACGATACAGAACCAATTGTTAAACCAAGGTACTCCTTGTATTTTTAGCTATCTACTCGTGGAAGAATTTCGAAAATCGGAGTATTTTGAGTTCGTTTAGTGAAACTACGAACAACGAGTCTCGTGACCTCGGCACGTAGCGTCCACTCGCGTAGGTCGTTGCTCGACCTGCAATCCGCGCGTATCTAGATCTTCTTTCTATCACAATACAGATAAATTAGTATAACCGCGATACTGCCTGTATTTTAAGCTTCTTACCCGTGAAAGAATTTTGAAAATTGGAGCATTTTGAGTTCGTTTAGTGAAACTACTAACTACGAGTCACGTGACCTCAGCACGTAGCGTAGGTATCCTCGCCCGCAGCTTGTTGCCCCACGCGTCTGAGTTCTGTTCCCGTAACTATACTGAATAAATAATATTACTATGTCACTGCTAAATTCTTAGCTCTCGCCACGTGAAAAACAAATTGAAAATCGGAGCATTTTGAGTTTGTTTAGTGAAACTACGGACTGCGAGTCACGTGACGTCGACACGTAGCGTATCCCCGCGGAGGTCAATGCTCTGCCTGCAATCGGCGCGTATCTGGGTTCTGTTCCCGTAACGATACAGAACCAATTGTTAAACCAAGGTACTCCTTGTATTTTAAGCTTTCTATTCGTGGAAGAATTTTGAAAATCGGAGCATTTTGAGTTTGTTTAGTGAAACTACGAACTACGAGTCACGTGACCTCAGCATGTAGCGTATACACGCGCGTTGTTTGCTGCGCCTGCAATTCCGCGCGTATCTGAGTTTTATTCCCATGACGATGCAGAATAAATTAGTGAATCACGTTAATTCCTACATTTTTAGGTTTCTCCACGTGAAAAATTTTTGAAACCTGGAGCAATTTGAGTTAGTTTACTAATACAAACAGCAAAAATATCTAAATTAAGAAAAACGTTTTCCTTAATCTACCTAGCACGGAGTCGGTCAAAAATAATTGAAACTTATGTTTTTATTAGGATTGAAAGGAATTAGGCACCCTGTTTAGTACAAGGCAAAATACTTACTGCTGTAAAGAAATCTACTTTAAATTAAATTGCTAACACTACTTCACAAACATACGTGATGTCTTTAAAAGCTACGAGTCACGTGACCTCGGCATGTAGCAAATACGCTTGTGGCAACAAGCTACCTGCGAAACCGTGCGTCCAGGTTCTGTTCCCGTAACGATACTTAATAAATAATATTACCATGCTACTGCACGAATTTTTAGTCTAAACCACGTGAAAGACTTTTGAAAATCGGAGCATTTTGAGTTGATTTAGTGAAACTACGAACTACGAGTCACGTGACCTCAGCACGTAGCGTATCCTCGCGTAAGTCATTGCTCCGTCTGCAATCCGCGCGTATCTGGATTTTCTTACCATCAGAATACAGATTAATTAGAATAACCATGTTACTGCCTGTATTTTTAGCTTCTTACCCGTGAAAGAATTTTGAAAATCGGAGCATTTTGAGTGGGTTTAGTGAAACTACGAACTACGAGTCACGTGACCTCGGCACGTAGCTTCCACTCGCGTAGGTCATTGCTCCACCTGCAATCCGCGCGTATCTAGATGTTCTTCCCATCAGAATACAGGATAATCAGAATAACCATGTTACTGCCTGTACTTTTAGCTTCTTACCCGTGAAAGAATTTTGAAAATCGGAGCATTTTGAGTGGGTTTAGTGAAACTACGAACTACGAGTCACGTGACCTCGGCACGTAGCGTCCACTCGTGTAGGTCGTTGCTCCACCTACAATCCGCGCGTATCTAGATGTTCTTCCCATTAGAATACAGGTTAATCAGTATAACCATGTTACTGCCTGTATTTTTAGCTTCTTACGCGTTAAAGAATTTTGAAAATCGGAGTATTTAGAGTTTGTTTAGTGAAACTACGCACTACGAGTCACGTGACCTCGGCACGTAGCGTCCACTCGCGTAGTTCGTTGCTCCACCTGCAGTCCACGCGTATCTGGATGTTCTTCCCACCAGAATACAGATTAATCAGAATAACCATGTTACTGACTGTATTTTTAGCTTCTTACCCGTGAAAGAATTTTGAAAATCGGAGTATTTTTGGTTTGTTTAGTGAAACTACGAATTATGAGTCACTTCACCGCATCACATAGCGTATACACGTTGTATTGTCGTTGCGCCGGCTACAATTAGCGCGCATCTGTGTTTTGTTCCTACCCCAATACAAAAAATAGTGTAACCATGTTGTTTATTTATAAGCTTTCTCCACGTGAACGAATTTTGAAAATCGGTGCATTTTTAGTTGATTTAGTAAAACAAAGGACTATGAGTCACGTGCACTCATCACGTAGCGTGTCCTTGCGTAGGTCTTTGCGCCGCCTGCAATCCACGCGTATCTGGTTTCTGTTTCCATTATGGAACTGAATAAATTGTTGAATCGAGTTATTCCATGTATTTTTAGCTTTCTCCACGTGAAAGAATTTTGAAAATCGGTGCATTTTGGGTTGATTTAGTGAAACTACGAACTACGAGTTTCATGACCTCATCACGTAGCTTGTCCTTGCGTAGGTCGTTGCGCCGCCTGCAATCTGCGCGTATCTGGTTTCTGTTCCCGTAATGATACTGAATAAATTGTTAAATCAAGATATTCCGTGTAGTTTTAGCTTTCTACTGGTGAAAGAATTTTAAAAATCGGTGCATTTTGAGTTGATTTAGTGAAACTACGAACTACGAGTTTCATGACCTCATCACGTAGCTTGTCCTTGCGTAGGTCGTTGCGCCGCCTGCAATCTGCGCGTATCTGGTTTCTGTTCCCGTAATGATACTGAATAAATTGTTAAATCAAGATATTCCGTGTAGTTTTAGCTTTCTACTGGTGAAAGAATTTTAAAAATCGGTGCATTTTGTGTTGATTTAGTGAAACTACGAACTACGAGTCAAATGACTTTAGCACGTAGCGTGTCCTTGTGTAGGTCGTTGCGCCGCCTGCAATCTGCGCGTATCTGGTTTAGGTTTCCATTATGGAACTGAATAAATTGTTAAATCAAGTTATTTGATGTATTTTTAGCTTTCTCCGCGTGAAAGAATTTTGAAAATCGGTGCATTTTAAGTTTATTTAGTGAAACTACGGACTACGAGTCACGTGAAATCAGTACGTAGCGTTAAAACATGAGAAGCTCGCAGCGCCGCATGCAATCCGCGCGCATCTGGTTTCAGTTTCCATTATGGAACTAAAAAAAATGTTAAATCAAGTTGTTCCATGTATTTTTAGCTTTCTCCACAAGAAAGAATTTTGAAAATCGGTGCATTTTGAGTTGATTTACTGAAACTACGAACTACGAGTCAAATGACTTTAGCACGTAGCGTGACCTTGCGTAGGTCGTTGCGCCGCCTGCAATCCGCGCGTATCTGGGTTCTGTTCCCATTATGATACTGAATAACTTGTTAAACTAAAATACTACCTGAATTTTTAGCTTTCTCCACAAGAAAGAATTTTGAAAATCGGTGCATTTTGAGTTGATTTAGTGGAACTACGAACTACGAGTCACGTGTCATCGGCACGTAGCGTGTCCTTGCGTAGGTCGTTGCGCCGCCTGCAATCTGCGCGTATCTGGTTTAGGTTTCCATTATGGAACTGAATAAATTGTTAAATACAGTTGTTCCACGTATTTATAGCCTTCTCCACGTGAAAGAATTTTGAAAATCGGTGCATTTTGAGTTGATTTAGTGAAACTACGACTATGAGTCACGTGTCCTCAGCACGTAGCGTACCCTTGTGTAGGTCGTTGCGCCGCCTGTAATCCGCGCGTACCTGGGTTTTGTTCCCGTAATTATACTGAATAAATTGTTAAACAAAAATACTCCACGTATTTTTAGATTTCTCCATGTGAAAGAATTTTGAAAATCGGTGCATTTTTAGTTGATTTAGTGAAACTACAAACTATGACTCACATCAACTCAGCACCTAGCGTACCCTCGCGTAGGTCGTTGCGCCGCCTGCAATCTGCGCGTATCTGGTTTCGGTTTCCATTATGGAACTGAATAAATTGTTAAATCAAGTTATTTGATGTATTTTTAGCTATCTCCGCGTGAAAGAATTTTGAAAATCGGTGCATTTTGAGTTGGTGTAGTGAAACTACGAATTACGAGTCACGTGAACTCAGTACATTCCGTATAAACATGAGAAGCTCGCAGCGCCGCCTGCAATCCGTGCGCATCTGGTTTCGGTTCCTGCAATGATAATTAATAAATTGATAAACCAAAATACTCCCTGTATTTTTAGATTTCTTAACGTGAAAAATTTTTCAAAATTTTTCACGTGTGTTTTTTGTTGACTTAGTTAAACTACAAACTATGAGTCTCATGACCTCATCACGTAGCTTGTCCTTGCGTAGGTCGTTGCGCCGCCTGCAATCCGCGCGTATCTGGGATCTGTTCCCGTGACAATACAGAATAAACAGTTTAACCATGTTGCTTCCTGAAGGTTTAGTTTTCTACTCGTGAAAAAAATTTCAAAATCGAAGCATTTTGAAATTTAAAAGAAATGAAAATTTTGTATTTCAAAACGATTTTAGTAATTCCAGATTAATCAATTATTTTTCCCTGGTTAAAACATTGGTCGTACTATAATAAAATATGTGATTTGAGTTTTAATTAAATTTAATTTAGAGTGATCTTGAGAGAGATCGAATCGAACCGATTTTCGAAATTCTTTTTCGTACATAAAGGTACAAAATTACTTGGTAGCATGATTACATCATTGCTGCTGTACCATAACGGGGACGGAACCTGTTGCCGCGCGTAA